TTATCTTCTGTGTCTGTGTTAATTGGTTTCCCTTTTCTTTGTTGAAGAGGGTCTGTGTAGTCTTTCTGCCTAGTCAGCCATCTTGCCAGAACCTGACATCCATTTTTGTCTTTTCTTTCTTTCTTGTATTTTTAATGACCTAAGGTTGGGAAATCTACTTCCTAGTGATACTGCCTTGGAAACCCAAGGAGGGGTTGCTATGAGTTGGATCTGACTCGACAGCAGTGGTAGATTTTTATTGTTTTCTTCATGTATGGTGTCCTTGATGTCCTTGATCCTACAACTCATCTTGTCTTCAGCCATTGATGTTCAATGTATCAAAACTGTTCTTCATATGTTCTCTAAATTCAGGTGAGATATACTCAAGGTCATATTTTTGGTCTTGTGAACTTATTTTAATTTTTTTCAGCTTCAGCTTAAACTTGCATATGTGCAGTTAGTAGTTTGTTGCACGGTCAGCTCCTGGCCTTATTCTGACTGATGATATTGAACTTCTCTATTGTCTGTGTCCACAGATGATTCTTGTTATTCCATCTGTTGAAGTCCTTGTGTATAGTCACTGTTTATGTTGTTGAAAACAGGTACTTGCAATGAATAAGTCATTGGTCTTGCAAAATTTTGTCATGAGCTCTCTTGAGTCATTTCTATCACCAAAGCCATATTTACCAACTACAGATGCTTCTTCTTTGTTTCCAGCTTTCACATTCCAATCATCAGTAATTACCAGTACATCTTCATTGCATGTTTGATCAGTTTCAGTCTGCAGAAGTTGGTAAAAATCTTCAGTTTCTTTATCTTTGGCTTTAGTGGTTGGCGCATAAATTTGGATAATAGTCATATTAACTAGTGGGTTTTCCTTGTAAGTGTATGGATATTATGGTATCATTGACAGCATTCTACTTCCATACAGATCTTGAAATGTTCTTTTTGACAGTACCTGCAATACTATTCCTCTTCTGTTTGTTATTTCTGGTATAGTAGACTATACGATTGTCTGATTCCAAATGGCCAATACCCGTCCATTTCAGCCCACCAGTGCCTAGCCTCTTGATCTTTATTAAGTCCACTTCATTTTTACAACTTCCAGTTTTCCTAGATTCATGCTTCATACATTCTGTGTTCCAATTATTAGTGGATATTTGCAGTTGCTGCTTCTCATTTTGAGAAAGAGCTGCCTCTTCAAAATAGAGTTGACGTTAGTTGTGTTGATGGAGTAAATCTTTCAGGATCTTCATTTGCTAATGTGGCACAACACAGAATGAGAAGAAACAGCAGAAATTATAGAGAATTTTAAAAGTGTATTTTATTTGCATTTGCCACTTATATATTTTAACCATGGCTGCTCACTCCCATAGCATCTAATTGAGATATTTATGTAGAAAAATGTTTTGTTGATATTAGAATATAAAATATTTGAATGTTTATAATATTAAATAAATAACTTTTTAGCCTTTTTTTTTTCTTTTGAAGATAATTATGACTTGGAACCTGCATCTGAATTAGGAGAAGACTTATTGAAACTTTATGTGAACCACTGTTGCCCAGATATTGATATTTATGTTGATGGAAAAAGTTTTAAAGCTCACAGGTAAATAGAAATGTGATTGATTTCATGACTTCATTGTAACAGTAGAATATCGTGGGTTAGTTATCTTTTTCTAGCACAGTGGTTTTCAAGCTCTGATGCATCCAGGAGGTCACAGGAATTCGACAGTGATACCTCAGGGAGTCTCTGACATGGGAAGATGGTGACTGTTAGATGGGGTTTCCTTCCTGGAAGCTCACATATGCACCCACTGCCCACTTAGACATGCTTCAGGCTGAACAGATTCTCTACCATTTCTGCTTTACATTTGAAGAAAATGAAGAAAAGGTTTCATTCAAAGTAGATGTTTTGTTGCCTAAAATAGGTTTGAAAACCACTGTCTCAGAAAATTTAGCTAGATGAGTTTTTAATTTCACCGTCATTGTAGTGTTTAGAATGGCTGTTTCTACATTAATGACATGTATTTTCTCTGAATGCTTTTTGGCTCAAGTTCTGTGATTCAGAATAGATGATAACTTATGAATAGCATTGATTAGGAGTTTTAATATTTCAATGCACTTTAAAAAACCCATTATTCTGCTTTTGAATTGGGATGCTTAAACATTCCAGATTTTAAATTGAAGCCTGCTCCCTGTTTTGGTTGGGCTCTTTTGATTCCAGGTCACAAAAATCTATTTAAAAAAAGAAAAAAAATTAATAAGAAATATGTTATTGTCTGTCGGAATCAAGGGAAAGAAGTACTGCTGGGCTTCACAGTGGATGAGAATCAGAGCCAGGAAACTGAAGAACTCAGATAGTTATACTACCTCCCTTTCTTGGGTTTCAAATAGTACACTGGTAAGAAGTTGTTCTGTTACATATAACCAAATACCTCATGGGATTTCATTCCTTGGTTTGGAGGTTTAGGGTCATGGTTTCATGAGACACCCCAGTTAATTGGCCTAATAACAAGTTTAGTGTTTCTATTGTACCTCCTAGTTCATTGTATGTCTGGGGTTTAAGAGGTTGCAAGGAGCTATCCAAGGCATAACAAAAGGAAGAAGGAGAGTCAGGAATAGGAGGACAATATGGAATGGGTGGCTCATTTTCTCCATGAACAACTGTGTCCTTTACCATGAGACCAGAAAAACTGAATTGTGCTTGGCTACTGTGACTGAACATTTGATCAAAGACTCCATAGAAGATTGCTGATCAAAAAGGGGAAAATGCAGAATGGAATTTCAAATTCCCATGGACTAAACTTTCTGGAGCTGTGAAGAATGGATGAACCCCTCAAATTATTGCCTTGAGATAATCTTTAAATCTTAAACCAAAAATATCTCCTAAAGTCATCTTAAAACTGAACAAAAGTTTAGCTTAACTGGTAAATAACGTCTGCTTTGAGCATATTATGCTCTTTTTAAGAATTATCTATATGGGATCAAAATGATAACAGCAACTTGAAAGATTTGATAGGAGCCTTGGAGGGCAGTGAGTTTATGTTAATGAGAGAGGTTGTTGTTGTTGTTGTTACTTGCCGTCGAGTCGGCCCCGACTCATAGCGACCCCTCCTTGGGTCTCCGAGGCAGTATCACTACGGAAGTAGGATTGCCCAACCTTCCTTCCGAGGAGTGGCTGATGGGTTTGAACCGCCAGCCTTCTGGTTAG